TTTTTCCTTCATAGCATAAATGACCATAGTCTGAATTTAAATAAATAAATAAATCAACCTCCTCTAGAGTTAGATTATTCCCAGCTGTATCCTACATGCATTTTTACAGTTTTCTCTGTAGTCTCTGGTACGAGCCACAGCATATTGGAGAAGGTGCTCAGGGTTTTTTACCCAGTATGACTTTTTCTTTATTCCCAGTTTCGTTTCTAGTCTTTACTGTCTATGTTTTCAGACTTCAAAAGTGTATGCTTGTGCTTTTTCTGCACCCTTTAGGTTTATTTTCTTTCTTTTTCTTCCATTCATTTTCTATTTTATCCTCATTTTCCTTTCAGTTTAACAGAAGCTCAATATATTTTGAAATTAGCTTCCTATCTTTTTCTCATTCTTCTCTCTCTTTGAGCTCTCTATTTTCCCTGATGATGATCTCCATTTTTTCACACACACTTCTCAACCACTTTCTGTCCTTGAACGTCTCTCTGCTGTGGAAATACATCTTTCTGTCTCACACCTCCATTTCCTCACATTTCTGCCATTTTTATAGTGAATAGGATATGAAGTGTCCACTTGGTGAGGCTCTTCTTTCTCACCTTTTTTTTGCCCTGTTGGAGGAAAAAAAAAAAAAGGTTATCTGTTTTTTCTTATTTTTAAACCCCATTTTATTTTGTATGCTGTTGTTCGTGAAGTGCTCTTGAAAAGGGAGCTCTTTGTTGAAAATTTTTCTGAGTTTATGATACAGGCTGAGACAAACTCTTGACATTCACTGACTAAAAAAAAAAAAAAAAAGGGTACTTCTGCTTATTAAGCATTATATTTTGGGGACCAGTATGATTTATGGAGGAAACAAAGTAGCAAGACACAACTGTTCCTACATGAAAGGAAATTCTTGTTCAGATCTGTGGTAGGGGTTTCTGCCTGGGGGTGGATTCTTCAAGGAATTAGCTGAGAAAAGCTATGAACTGTAGTAGTGTCTTGTATCAAAGTCTCTATAGAGTCTAAAGAATGATAGACATTAGCTTGATAAAACTACAGATAGAAGTTTACTCTTTTTCTCTGCTCTGTGAGCATGTTCAAAATTTTCCAAGAGCTCTTTCCCAAAACGATCATGATAAAGTGAAATTCTGTATGTGTTTTCATACAGGTGACCAGAATCATTTTCTTTATGCAAGGCTATCCCAGTACTAAACCTAAAACAGTTCAAAGTATATGCTGTCAAACAAACCTAATATAAGCAAATAAACACATGTTTTTCTTTAGTGTAATTTTCAAAAATGATCAAAGTATTTCAACTAAAATGTTGAGAAAAAGAGGGGTCATAAAGTTCCTGATGTAGAATTTTTTATCCCATGTCACTGATGCTTTATACTATCTAATTAATTTAGGATGTAAATACATATAATATAAGAAGTATAAGTAAGAAATGTAGAAATAAGAAGTATAAATAAAATGCAATGGAAAGGATGATAAACACATAAAATTAATAGTAATTGAGTGCCCCAATGTGTTATTCCCTTAAGCCTCTAAAGGCTCCTTTTTGTTACTAGCCTATTGCTGATCTATTGTTATGCATATTCTGAGAGACTGTGCATACTGCAGTGCTCTTCAGGTGTAGAATTAAGTATTTACCATTTCCATATTTAGATACAGGACATTTTTTCAGTGATATGTCTTGTAATTGCTTAATCAGAAAGGTTATATAAAATAGTTTTAGCAGTAGGGGGGTTTCTGATTAACTGATAATAGAGCAAACCTATATCACAGACTATTTTGATCATTTTGTCTTGATTACCAAATATTAGCCTGAACTTTTTCCAAGAAATATTCACCCTAGCTGAACTTTTTCTGATTATTTGGTGAAAACAGTTGTCTCTACTTTTCTTTAGTTAATCAAGAGTAACAGTTGCGTTCAGTAGACAGAAAGCCTCGTATTTATCCACAGCACAGAAAGATTATACAAAATGGCAGTCGTAGCCTTTTCATTCTGTATTGCCAATTTGTTTCATCCCTTTTTAAGAAGATCACTTCAAATAAGAAAGTTAGCCAATGCTGGTCTGGCAAAAGCATCACCACCAACAAAAGTATTTTGAACTCTAGAAGTACAACAACTTTTTCTTGGTCACTCCTACGTCTCTATGTATCTTGCCATACTGTAATCCAATAGCATCATTAGATAGGGTTGGGTCACCATTTAATCATGATTCATCTTTTATTGATGTTGTACTTTCAGTCAAGAAGTCTTGTTAAGAATTTAGGTATGTGCTTTGAAGCATATACCAATACACTTTCCTGTAAAATAAGCTAATCCTTTCCCATTCAAACAAAAGTAGTGTTTTATAGAAAAGTCCTGTTGTATTGTGCTTGTTTGTTTTTTTATTTTTTTCCTGGAATAGACTTCATCTTTATTTTGATTATCTCTTATTAAATGTTGGAACAATTCTAAGTTATCAGCTTGTCTAGCAGGAAAAATACACATGACAATAGCCCATGATTCAGTTTCTTTCAGGTTTACTGTTGCAAAATTATCATTAAATATGCATTTGTTTACCAGTCTAAAATTTGCTTACACCATTGTGAAAGAAATAAGAATGGCAATGAGAAAAATTTCTTAATCTTCTAAATGGACTATTCTGCTATTTGCTGCTGTCATTGATAAGGTAGATAAGCTTCACCTATCTGAAAGAGTAGCACAGGTGAAAGATATGAATTTAGAGAAGTTTTTGTCTGTTATACAAAGCAGCATATTTAACATAGAGATAAGATTAGTCCTGCCTGTGGAAAATTTGTATACTTTGTATTCATTTCTTCTCTGTATTTTTGTTTTACTTTTATATTTGTTTTTATGAATCAAATAATTGCTGTTCTATAAAAATATTTGTATATTTGAACAAAAACATATAATCTGTTTCATGGCTGGTGAAGGGAGTTTTAGTTCCTTTCAAAAACGAAGAATAAAGTTACTTGTATCTATTTGTACTGAAAAGGTTATCAAGTAGGTTGTCATTCTATCCTTACAAGAGGTCCAGCTTATGTCTCTAGCTTGGGAAAGAAGGACAAGCTCACAGGTCTAGGTTCGGAAGCATAATAGAATCTTCTGGGTATACCGTAATGACATCTACATTCAAATGCATCTGCAATCAAAAAATGGTAAATGCATATAAATACAATTCTAGCATATAATTCTGCTATTTTTTACTTACTGATCTGAATTTTCTAGTAAACCTAGAGTGCACAGTCCAACAAGGAAATTAATTGACACTTTATATTCTTAATGACCCCAAATGATTATAAAATATATCTGTCTGGTTTAGCTCTCTGCAAGTAAAGAATTTATTATATACAGTGTTGAGAAGTCAATTTAAAGCATGTTTTGCAATAAAGAAAAGAAATGGTGCTTCTTTTGTGGTAAAAATAACTGAATGGCAAGAGAAAGGCTCTCAAAGGAAAAGATACAAAGTCTCATTAATCTTACTCAATAACAGGATCAAAAGAAATGGCAAAGTATTTTTCTGAATTCCTAAATCAACTTTTCCCATTGTTTAATTAATTATTCTCCTGCGTCAAAAGAAGCAGGAAAATAACTTCATCCAGACTTTTTAAGGGACGCAGTAGGAATTTAGCATTTCGTTCACACTTGCTTGGCAATGAAAGGACTCTGTATTTCTTCATATTCATGGCAGAAATAGAGCACTTGATCCAAATGGGCATGTAGGTTTGTATGCCATTTATCCCAAAGGAGCTGAGCCCCATAATCAGCTCTCAAAAATTGTTTCTAAGTGTGTCCAGAATTTCTTTGGAAAAGCCTCTGGAAATGGTTGCACCATATTTTTTTCAGAAATCACACTCCTATTATGTACGTGTTCCCCACCCCACACAGGCTGTTGGGTTGGACACCCTGAGGCTCCCAGCAGGTCTCTGGGAACAGCAGGCACCGCACTGGCCACCGTGCATGGCTGTGACTTGAAGAGCTGCTAAGTAGACTTAGATGTGTAATTTGAAATACCTACCAATAGGGTTTATAACTCTTGCTGACATGTTTGACAGATATATATATCTGTATTTTGCTCCTCTCCACTTACAGCTCAATTGTCTGTTTGTATCAGAGAATAATTTATACAAGTGGATGTGCTGTGTTCACATCTGATTCTTAAGTGTGAATAATGAATTCTAATTCTGGGTCTTTTTTAGTTTCGCTACTCTTTCTGTTTCAGAATAGTAATTACTCATGATAGTTACAGAAAACTACTCTTAATTATATGAAATGGTGCTACTCCTGTCCTGATTGTATTTAACAGTATGTAATAGTTCTAGTAAAACAGAAGTGCTGCCTCTATGTATTTAAGAAGGTAAAAAGTGTAATCTCCGCCACTGTCATGATAACTTAAGAAATTTACCATCATTTATATGTGGATTTATTTTTCTGTAGAATCCACTAATGAACTTAAAATTATGAGTTCCATCACCAATTTTAAATGTGCCTATATGTTAAGTGCATGGTAGAAAAACTCTCCTACTGCAAAATACCTGAAGATGTTAGGTCTGTAAAAGTTATTTTCTTTGATGTCTTGTCTATCCTCATAAACAAAAACTACTTACTGAATTAAAAAGGCACCCTGCTCATACATAATGACACTCTGTGAGATAGATTTTAACCATGAATCAGAAAACATCTAGTAGGTGTGAGACATGAGATAAAATCAATACATTTTTATGAGGTATGTCACTAGTTAAGTGACAAAAAATATTCTGATAGTCACTGGAAAAGAAAAGTCAAGGGTACATTTGAACCTGTCAGTTCAACACATTCCTGTCATCCCTTTAGGGGATATCATACAACTTGACACCAACATTTAAGCTTTGAAAATTATGAGCTCATCTATTTCAAATGGGATGTCACATGTTCCCAAGCCTTTGCCATTACTTATATTGGAAGACAGAATGATCACTTTTGTCACATATTGATAGTGAATAAGATCTTTCATTTTCCTTTCTTTTTCTTGTTTCAGAATGAAGAACAAATTTTGGTATTTTGAATTTGGCACTTCAGAAACTTTCTCAGCCACCTGTAAGAAGCTGCATGAATCTGTAGAAATAGAAGTAAGAAATTAATTGTTGCCTTTATCCTTGAAATGTCACTAGTTTGCCTGAAATGCAAGGAGCAGCAGTGCAGAGTGCCTGAATCCAACAAGGCAAAGCAGTGCACATCCTCTCGACCCTATATTCCAAAATATTATTTTTATCATGTCTATTTGTAGTGTAGCCCTGAACACTGGATCAAAGTTCAGTTTGATGATTAGTGAAGTCTTAATACTGTAGACAAGGTCAAGAGGTGAACCATAACATTAGAAATCAATAGGGAGTGTGGCTAGGTCAGATGGAAAAATGAAAGACTGTTGCAGGGAGTGAAAGCTGCTGCAGGATTAAAATAAAAGAAATATCTTATTATTTCTAGGTCCCAAGTTTTTATAACCTTTAAAACTCAATTCCCTAAAATTGTACTTACTTTCCTGAATACATGTTAAAGAATATATATATTTTTTGGAATCATTCCCCTTCATTAACTATCTTTTCTCTCTGCACAAGGGGTCATCTTTCCATTATACACTGAACATTAACTGAAAAGACACAGGACGGTTACAGACAAAAAGGGAATTTAAAATAATGTGATACTGCTACTTTGATGACTGATAGAATAAGTGGCTACACTAGGCAAACTGTTTGAGGGGAGCACTGATACTTACAAGTAAATGAAAAATGAGTGAGGCTACAAACTTGAGAATTTAAGTTAAATAATGAAGCTGTTTCTCAACAATATTATGGTGCTTTTCTCTTCTAACAGTAATGAGAAATTGCACATGTCAAGAGGGTGTTTGTATAGTATTATGAGACAGTCTGAAAGGTCTGATAAGAGCTATTAGTCTGCTCAAAGCCTGATGAAGGGCTTGCACTTAAATGATCTGAAAGGACCATGGTAGTAGAAAAGAGTAGAAGGGTACTGAGATTAAAATCTTAAGACCTATGATAAAAGAGACTTTCATATCTGTAGTTATATTTCTTCTTAAAATGGAAAAGTACTTAGATGTATTCATTTAAAAACAAAACAAAGTCTGATTTTGCTTTCCAAGAGAGCACTTCACACACTTGCATCCAAAAATACAGCCTGAGAAATGCTTGATTAGTTATTGGAAGGAGTGGTTACCTGTATTGATTGGATTTGATTTGAATGTCCTACAGGTTAAGTATATGATTAAGTATAAATCCAAGAGCAAACTGTCTCCAGAATTTTACCACGTTAAAATTCTGCATAGCTCAACACTTAGTTCTTCTTTAGCCGTCTGTCTGTAGCCACTGAGTGGGTGATGAAATGTTTTTCATGTCCATAGTAAATGAGTATGCTTACAAGTTCATGATGTTGCTGATTCCAGTTTTATTCTTAACAATTAAGACCAATAACATTATTGCATGGACAATATTTAAGATGTATTTATTAAAATTCTTTTCATTTGTGCTCGCCATTATCATTAGTCCTACAATTAGGAGGGCAAGCAAATCAGATGGGAAACATTTTCCAAAATTTTTACAGAAGAATGTTAGGAAGAAGTCATTTACAGACATTATTATGAGTAAATTACATTACCAATATGCTTGTATTTATTTAACATTTCTCATTTTTATATTATAAATACTTGAATATAATGATGTTCTCATTAGGTTTTTAAACCTGCTGCCCTTTGCTCAGGGGTTTGGAGTGTTGCTGTAAATGAGAGCTTGAAGAATTGCACCACATTTCACTCTTAATGAAATACACACAGAATGCATATGCTCTGCACCCTATTTTTGAATGAACAAAGCACGTTGAGATTAAGGATCTGTATCTCCGAGCTGGGAGAAGACAATGAAGATTTCTGCAGGCAGTTATTTGTTCAGCCACATACTCGATTTCTAGACTGACTAAGCTTGGTTTTCCTTATATACATCCATGTGTCTTAAGTCCTTTTCTTCTTGTATTTGAGATGCAGAACACTAAATACATCTACTAAATTCTGTATTTAAGATACAGGAAAAGTTGCCTATTTGGCAAGGGTTAAAAGTGGCGTAGGCTTAAATATTAAACAAAATAAGGGATGTTTTCCTAATTTAGGATCTAAAATGGTGATGTGGATTCATAAATTTTAAAGGAAAAAAATAGAGCTTTTTAACATATTGTGTCAGTAAATGAGGTTTAAGACTTTACAGATTACCAATTTACGCTTTATTTCCCCTTTAAAAAGAGAAGGGAGGTGTGTGAAGCAGACTTAACTAGACAAGGCAAGTGGCGATGGTATGGGACATAGCTGCAGACCTGTAAAAGCACCACATGACCAGAGGAAGCATAGGATATTGCCTGGTAGTAATGGGTGGGGAAAAGAGATTATGTGCTTTTGCATACTGTTGAACTTGCTGAGACAGCAAAGCCTTTCAACTGTTTACAAGCATGGCTATGTTCTCAATCTAGAAAAGTTCTAAATATTTTTAATATAATGAAGGAAATGTAAAAAATAATGTCAAAAAGTGGACTGAAGCCAGTCAACCCCTCCCCCCCAAAAAAAAAAAGAAAGGGGAAAGCACTGTGGTTTATTCTTAAAATGCGGTTTCTGCATTTTAAAAATGTCCTTTTATGTTTGGCAGCATCTTTGTATTCCTAGAAATAAAATAAAAGAGCAGAGCGCATCTGCACTGTGTTGCTGTAGCATATGAATGTGTTAGGACAGTGCAAGGTACCCATCGTGCAAACTTCTCATCTGTGTATGAACAAAAGAAATACTCCTTTACTAATTCGGGAAGTTCCTTGTCACTGTGGGACTCTGAGGCCGAGGCAAATAATTGTCTCAGTGTACTACCTGCTGTGTTCAATATTGAGTGAAAATGGAAGCCAGACCCTGTGCCATCCTATTTCACAGGCCTTCTTTTATTTAAATATTTCCAATCGGTTTGGGGGACGCCAGACCTTTATAAATTAACAGCAGGGAAATACCAAAGGTGTCAGATTGCATATTTATCATCTTTCTCTTGTAATACTTAAATATGTATTAAGAAGTGACTGACATAAATTAGGCAGATTTCATAAGCCACAGGCCGTGGCTTGTAGAGGACCCCCTTCTGCTTGACATTTCATCCTTGTCAAAGATCAAATTATTTTAATTTAGGCTGCAAATTATAAGGAATGAAGACTTCTTTGTGGGAATTCCCTGTGGTAATCTGACTTTTGTTGTTACTGCTGCTTGTCAGTGTGCAAAAGATATAATATGCATGCAAATAAGGTTAAAAAATATGTACTATCTAATTATCCAGCCAGTACATTCCACTTGAAGACAGTGGGAGGCCTGACACACAGTATGTGTTTGATTCATTGAGGCCTGCAGGGTATTTACACAAGATTACTTTTAATTATGAAATTAATATCTGTTTATCTAGAATGTATAGCAGTAAGTGAGCATACACATGAGCAGAATTTTTAGTAAAATAAATCATCTCAATATTTAATACGTATAAAATATAGGAAAAAAGCATGAGTTCACTTCCAAAATAATACTGAAGAACCATGCAGTTTTTATGAAAAAAAACCCTTTGATTAAAAAGTTACACTTCCAATTACATTTGTTGCCACAACTGCCAGCTCAGTTCCAGTTATGTCCTTTCATTGTAAAAGTTTACTATATGAATAAAATCCACAGGTTTAAAATATAATTCTGGAAGATCAGTGTGAAATGGAAACCTTAATATTGAAATTGTTTTCTTTACGATTTTGCAGTTTTGCAGAAGAATTAGAACGATGCAGAATGTACATTATAAAATAATTATGATTGTGGTCTAAATAAGTTTCAGAGTAAATGAATAAATATGTGTAGCTATTTATGAGCTATGTAATAAAGTCTTAGATAAACAGAGAGAAAATGTGCCAGTGACCCGCAGAGCAGCAAGCTGTAAGATGTCAGTGGACTATTACTGAAGCATGGTTAATTATTTTTCCAGTTTTCTTCCTGATTATTGTATATTGGAATTACAAAGTAAGGCTCTTTTAATCAATTTTAAATGCATGACTAGAGCCTCTACTGGCCTGAAAAACCCCTACCAATGCTCAAGTTGTACACTCAAGGAGTAAGTTGCATTAAAATATGCAGCTTATACACAGTAAGGTGTGTGACTTGCCAGAGTATCTCTGTGTTTTAGCTATGTTGTGAGGCATGAAGCTCATGTATCTTTAATAAGAAAGTGAATACTGGGACTTTTGGATTAGGTCTGAACACTTGCCTTCCACATGCATATTCAAGTGTATTCCCAAATGTAGTAACCAAAGTCTTTTCCTCAGCGGAGGCTGTGCTGCTGGCTGAGAAGGTGTCACAGTTTGACTGCAAACGGCCTCAATAAGTTAAGGTCCAGCCTCCTACAAGTATCTCCTACAAGTTTTGCCTTTGGATTGACAGTAATATCTGTGGGCTGTTCTAAGCTCTCAAGGCCTGCTAAAACCCTTTTCCATCAAGCTATATATATTAAATATAACCAGAAATTCTATAATGCATATGTAAAATCTTTTATATGCATTTTCATGTGAAGGGGAATCAGCTGCTATAATGGCAAGTATCATTATAAAATCATAAGATAGACAATTTAGCTGAAAGAAGAAGCAACAACTGATGTTATTACAGTGGTAATTTTTGAAATAAATACGTTTGTCTGCTAGTGCCTGCAGCAAATCCACAAATGGACCCATATGTTTCACGTGGGTCCATGAATACACATCAAATAACAACCGGGCTCTACCAAATGGTCCCACACTTAATCAAGCAATCAAGGCCTGAATAGTAATCATGTTTTGCCCACTGAATGAGGATCTATTCATATTTCATACCTCCTGTCCAGATGCAAACATATATTTTAGGCGTAAACCTTGAATAAACCATTAACAGTGCTTAGAGCAGTGCATTGCTAAAGAAAAATACCTGGTAGGTAGAATATTCTGATTTTTCTTTCTCTTTTACTGCTTTCTCTCTCCCCCTCACTCTTTTTCTCCCCTTGCTAATCAGTGTGATGGAATTCAGCTAGACTTAATCAATATTTCTCTGGAAGGAATTGCCATTCTCAATATCCCAAGCATGCATGGCGGGTCAAATCTCTGGGGAGAGACAAAGAAAAGACGTAGCCATCGCCGGACAGAAAAGAAGAGGTCAGATAAAAGAACAACCGTCACAGATGCCAAGGAATTGAAGTTTGTATGCCAAGGTAAGCTTACGGATTATACAGGCTATCTGGTTTCATACAGTCAGCTCTGTTATTTAATTGCAATTATATTGCCTCTTCTCAAGAGTAAAGAGGAACAGTTCTTAGCTATTTCTTTTTGTGTGTGTGCTTAGCTTCCTGATGGCAAGTGCTGGAGAAAAGACGTGCTGACAATTGCAATCTAAATACTCCCCAACCTGCCTTTCTTAGGACATTACATGTAAAACCAGACTAAGCACAGTATGTGGCACTGTTTACTGCTATTATATTCCATTGAAAATGCCTGCAGATTTTGGAGTCAAGAAATGCTGGCCATAAATGTCAAATGCATAAAAATTCGGCATAATCTTTCTCTTTTTCTAACAAACCTTGTCCTAGGAAAACAGATTGTGGAAAGCTTCTCAATGGTAAGAAGAAAGCGTCTACACATTTGATGCTACCATACTATGATGCTATATGCAATTCTTGGAACTATATGCTGTAGCTTGCCTGGGAGTGATCCTTCCTTTCAGGGATCATATGCTTTTCTGGTGATAAGAAGGATTTTCTCCTTAATTTTTATTATTAATCACAACCTCTGAGGAAACGCTACAATAAATCATAATCTTTTATAATCTCTACTATAGTCTGTAGCAGCTGAATAGCATGTATTGTAACACACCATAAAACATCATAAATTATGCAGATTATGGAGCAGAAGTTCTCCTCATACCAAAGGATCAAAGTACCAAAATTCTCTTCTCTGTACTTTTTATCCTGTGGAAAAGAGCATCTTTTGCTTTAGTGGTTAGAACATTCACAGACTGAACCAAGATTAGGGTTTAAACATTTTGAGTTTTATTTAAATCCTTTTTCTAGTTTGGATAACTTATTTTTTTCTGTCCTGTGAGTAGTAATTTTTAAGTCGTCACTTATATCTTAGTTAATTACAACATGTTGTGGTTTTAATCCAGCTAATATGTTTAGATGAGATAGGCTTAGGAAAAAAGTAATTTTCTATGACCTGGAGACTGCAGTAGGTGCTAAGACTCAGTGTTTTCTTTGTGTTTTGGCAAGCTGCGGTATGATATCCTTATCTCCAAGTAACTTACTGACATGCTTTGTCAACTGAAGTCTTATCAAATGTTAAGTTTGTACTACTTCAGCATACTTTTCTATCCCTCTATAAAACCCCAAAACACAAATAGCATGGACATCAGGTTTTAAGGATCAAATGATTTTTTCTGTGGATCCACTCCTTTTGCATATTGCAAAGAGCAGCCTTCTAATTTTGCCAGCTAAAATAGGTACTCAGGTTAGAGTAAGCTTTTTCATCTCAGTATTCAAGAATATTGCTGAATAATGGAATTCAATCTATTTTAAGTCTAGGCTTATCAAAGAGCTTTGATAAATCTAAATCTATCCACTGTGGAAACAGCTGACTTCCTGTCTGTTCTCAGGTAATACAATTCCTTTGCTAGCCTTAGACAAGTATATCCTAGCATCCTATATTGTCTAGGATGATTGTTTTTTTAGGTCCATTAGGCTTGTGTACTTTTAGTTGGATAGATTTCTTTTTTTTGAGAAACAAAGTTAATTGCACACCTGTTCGTTAACTTTTTGTTTGTTTGTTTGTTTCCATATTGGGATACAAATACAGCTTCTAAGAACTCAACAAAACACTATGTTTTCTGGAAGATTGTAGTCTAACATACCCATGTTTCCATATAGGTATTGCTCTATCAATCAGGTTTATGCTGAAAATCTAATCCTTATATTTGGGTCTGGAATGATATTTATGTTCAGTTTTACTCTTGTCACTAAAGCTTGTCACTACAACATTGCAACTGTATTTTATTGTAATTTTCTGTTACAGAATAAACTATCTTTCTTGAGATGCTTTTAGAGTAGAAATCAGATTTTGGTTTTGTTTCTTTTAAATTAAAAATATGTTGTGAAAATTTCTCTTATTTATAGTCGATTCATAATAATAAATAAAATTATATGTATATATTGAAGTTTGTTCACGGATATGATTTAGGAATCATTTTCTCTTTATGAATATGCCACTTGCAGTGTGTTTTCTCTATTGCTTTTTTCATCTCCTAGCATGTACGTATCTATGGAATATCTATCCACAACTATTTTTATTTTCCTAAGTACGGGATCTCAGCTGTAACTCTGAACTATCCTTAAACATCATTTGGATAGGATATTTGTTTGGATATACACAAATATTGATAAATGTGATAAATATTTTAAAAAGATGAACATACTGCATATAAACTCAAGCATGAATTGAGATACATAAATGTAAATAGCTGAGCTACTTGTCGTTTGGAAATGACATCCAAAACATAAGCTGAAACATGAAAATATGTCTTCCATAAAATATATACCAATTCTGTTAGGTGTTAAACATTAAAATGACCTTCCCAGAGATATTAAATAAAATGTTCAAACTTTAACTTTCTGCATTTAATATTTCTGATAGAAAATATCATTTTTAAAATTTGTCCACTAATTTTTTTTCTAATAGAGTGGGATTCCTTTGAGGAAAATGTTGCTATACTTTGATTTGCTTTCACTGCTGAAGTGGTCAGAACCTGGTCCAGAAATAGGATGTCTTCACTGAGTAATAGTCTTAAACTTTTAATGCAAACATAGACCTGTAACTTGTTTTGTATAGGTAATAGGGTCACTTCAATGGACACTAGCCAAAGCTTTTGAACATTAGTGTTAATGCAAAAAGCCCTTAATCTATAAATATTTTGGTGGAAGAATATTTCTTCCTATTTACTTTGTACAGCGCCAGGCACAGTGATGCATAACCAAGTACTTAACAAACCAGACAGTCTTGCTGGTTAGGGAAGCTGCACCAAGCCCTTATTCAGCAGTGCGGTAGATGGGTGGACTGATTCAAGACAATGTGCATTCATATCACAGCATCTAGGCATAAACCAAGCTTATCAAGATGATTCAATAACTCTGTGTGGAAATCTCAGTTAATAACTGCGTTATGAATTTCTGAATGGAAATGCAGAAGTTTTAAGAGCAGAATAATTTCTATACGGACAGTTTGCTATAGTCAAAAATAGGAAAAATGCAAACTGTGAAGGCCTTAGAGCATCCCAAAATGTCTGTACATACTAAAAGGGGAAAAAATTGCCATATTTATTAGGTATGAAATTCCATTCTAAGGAAAAGATAACCATTAACATGTTATAGAGAAAAATAATTAAAAATAGCTTTTTCATAGCCAATCTGTGTTAGACATTCAGCTACAGAAGCAACATGGTTTGCTGAAGCATCTAAGTAAAATCATTTAATTACTTGCTGCCTTGACAATCCTAACTATTTTAGGATGTACACATATACAGCTGATGGAAACAAACAGTCTTGATATAATCCAGTTCTACCAATTTTACTAATCAGTGTTGTGGATTACATATGCTCCTTTAGAGAAAGAAAAAAGTAAACTAGCTTATGTTAATCATAATATTTTTAAGAATATTTTTAAGAAGAATATTTTTAAGGTAATAAGTTTGAAATTCAGAATTTCAAAAGGCATATCTAAGCAATGAAAACCAGTGAGTATCAGTGAAATATAAAAAAGAGATAATAGTTACACACTGTCCTAAGGTAGGCTCAGAATCATTAAAGTAGAGTACAGGCTGGCATAAACACCCTCTAGTATTTGAGACATCTTGCAAAACACAGTCTTTCTGCAGGAAGAGCCTCTCCAAAAGCTGAGGTACATGTCTGTATGCAAAACAAAGATACAAACAGCGTATATGTGGTGGCTTTGCAGGGTTCTGTTTCTGATATTTCTGTGGAAAATAGCTGAAAAAGAACAATGAAGCCAAGAAAAGAGGATGCAGCATACACGGTAATAGAAAATCTCTTCTTTTTTTTAAGAAAAAATATAGAGGAAGACAGCTTTTACAGTTGAATTCTGTCTATTAAAGCATTAGATAAGCAAAGAAAATGCTTTCAGCTTGAGCCTTCCTATATTTAAGGGGAAAAGTCTTTTGTCTTTAGTTGCAAGAAGAGTGAAAAATGAAAAATCTAACACTGATGTACCTTTCCTAATGAAAGAAATCCAAAAAGATCAGTATGGAGTATGTTAACTAACACACAAATCTGAAAAGGCAAGAAGTAAAAAAATATATAATAAACAGTAAAATAAGTTAAATTCAAAGGGGTAATGGAAGATAGTGTGTCTGATTTTCTAGAAAAGGTAAAAAGGAAGGAGGACCTTTACACACGCTTGTGTTATATACCTGATTTCTTTGTCTGGAAAAACTTTGCATGTTTTATTTTCTGTCCTTGATTGAAATCAGAAAGGTATAGAAAATCCCCTGAATGAATAAGTTAACCCTTCATATATAGATGCTTCTTAAAATGTTTGAAATTAATTTCTATATGTATTCACACCAGGTTTCTCCTCTGTCCACGCGTACACCCAGAACTATGTTGAACAGCTAAAAATGTAAACTTAAGCTCTAAGCTAGACATCACATATTTCTGTCTGGGTTTTCTTGTTAAAATACATGAGCACATGTTGTATATGGTAAATCAAATCCTTGTGAGCCCTGTCAAAGTTAGGGAGCCATTAATCTCAGCTGACTTCAGTCTCTAAAAGTCAAGTCTATAGTCAATAGATAGAGAGAGTGTCACCTCAAGAGGAGTGTTTATCCTGTGTAAGGGTCTAAGACAGGCAGGATAAATTGCTCCCTGGAGGTGCCTCTCCGTTTACCATAAGGGGATCTTAACTGCCTGGCTAGGTTAGACATCTTGCTTCCAGCTCACTAGACAGTTAGATGAATTTCTGTATGTGCTGCACATGACAGTAGTTCATAAAATGTATAAACAGTCCTTGGCCTTGTTGAGCTAAATTGTGCTCTCTATTCTGGGCCTGTGCTTATGCGTCCTGCATCCCTCAAGAAACCGGTAGTCACTAATCTGCTGCACAGAAAGGACCCCAGCAAAATATCTGTCTTGTCAGTGTGTGCAGATCCTGC